AAATAAGACCATAAAATTATCTGCATTGCCTTCCCTCTTCTTTTCTCCGCTTTTGCTGATTTTGCAGTAGAGACAACAAAGATGGTTTCCTAGTTCTAAGGCATGCTTTCTGAGAATAAGATTTTTTTTTTGTTATGTAGTCATCAAGACAGAAGAGGTCACCATAGCTATTTGGCTCACAACTGATGAAAGACCCCTAAAGTTAAGACACTTGGTCTAGTTAATATTTTTGGGAAGTTATATCTGCTACTTTCCTCTGCAGCATTTGCTGTTTAGGTTATCTTACAAAATTCTAACCAAATGGAAGGATTTTATGATATTACTTCAGAAAGGTTATCTTTATCCTGACAGAATTAAATTTATTATGTGAACCAAATTTGACAAAGGATACCTTGTGCTACCAATATAATCTACAGTTCTAATGCAATTATTCTTCGAGAAGCATCTCTAAACTACTAGCCCGGACTTTTAAGAGGAACCAAACTCCTTTAGAGTAGGTTGAAAATCCTCCAGCTGAATGTTTATAATATGCGAAATGAGAGAGAGAGAAAGAAAAAGTCCACAAAAAGCATTATATCTAGAAAACATTATCTTGGTTAAAAGATTTTAAATTTTGTCAATTTTCAAGTATGAAATTGAAGGTGGTATATGATTGTGTTTGAGGGTGCATGTATTTAGATCTTACCTGTAAGGCCACTGGGTGTCAGCCATGTCCATTGCTACTGAATTATTCAATCAAACAAAATAAATTATCAGTGAAATAAAGAAAAAGAAAAGAATAGATTTGTTGAATCAGAAATTCTGTAAACAATGCTTACAACATTAAAGGATTCTATGAGGCTAATGTTTTGAGGTTGTTCTAATTAATTTTTATGTTTTATACCATTTTAAAAGTAAAATACAAAAGGAGAAATTCTTGGATATTCAATAGGTCTGGGTATTCTAGGAAACAACTTAGACCAGGGGTGTCAAACTGCCGGCCCGCAGGCTGGACGCATCACATGGAAGCCGTGCCCACCCCATTGCCGGCAATGGCAAAACCGGCCCGATACGTTGCGCGACATCATGTGACATTGTGAGTTTGACATGCCTGGCTTACACAAATAAGCCTTTCATCAGAATTGTTTTCTGTAAAAAATGTATCACTTGTCACCATATTAGTTAAAATTGGAAAATAACATTCTTGAAAGCCTATCTGTACAATTTGGGTGAATTGCTATTCACCAATTTTATTATGGTATGCCTTAATCATAATTCAAATATTCAAGTAATATTTAACTTGGTGGACCATAAATATATATTTCATATTGTAACATAGTTTTCTTCACAAAAGCAGCATGTTCTAATCTTTAAATGAAACAAATCAAACTTTACCTATATAATCTTCATGTAACAAAACATCCTTCATGTACAATAACTCATTTTATGATAATAAATCACACACCTATGTAAAATAGCACAATTACATCCATTATAAACTCAAGGGTCATTATTCCAAGCATGTTTATACTGGTAGTTCAGGAAATATTCATGATATTAGCCACCAATATTGTTCTCAAAGCAGCTGCATGTATTGTTAAAATGTAGTTTTCCTGATCTAGGTAATAGTAATCTAGAACATGAACACAATAACAGTCCAAGGCTCATCTTAATCCAGTATTTTGTTTCTCACAGTAATCTACTATATGCCCTTGGGGTGCTTTCAAAAAGAAAGTGGAAACATACCCTATGTCACTGTTTTTGAAAGCATGCTGTCCTCAAACTCAAGTTAATATGGCATTTCCAAGACTATTAGCCCTTGATAGGCTTGTCTTCCATTGATTTTATGTCTATCTATCTGTCATATTTATATGGATGCCTATCTCACAAGAGCATCATTATTTATTTATTGAATTTATTTTTAAAGCTATCTCATTGTAATGTATTCCACAATTATGTTCTTTATGAAGAAATGTTTCCTCTGTTGATTTAAATCTTCCAATATTTCATTGTATGACCTTTTTCCTGATATTTGAGAGGGACCAAAACTTTTGCTCCTCTGTTTTGGTCATGGCATGCATTGTGATGGCCCATTAGTCTTTTTTCCCAGCTAAAAGTTCCAAATGTTCCTAGCTTCCTCTTATACAGAAATTGCTCGAGTCCTCTAGTTTTAAACATTCTCCAAATTATATTGTAAATATAAATAATTATAATATAAATATTGTAAACAGATTTGGTCCTTTATTTTGATTCTTTTTTTCCTTGTCAGCCTTTCATTTTAAAAATTTCTTTTTCCTTTTGGCATGTATGCCAAATGTTATAGCATTATAAAAAATTCTTATTAATTCCACAACAGCTACATCTTATATGAGATCAATGTCACCTTTAGGATTAAATTAAGAGCTGCTTTCTTTGTGTTCTAAAACACATTCATTTAGACTATTTAGAGATTTTGTTTCTTTGTCATAGCCTAAGCCTGAATGTACCTAGCCTATGTGAGAATAACTGAAGTCCTACATTATTACAACAGCTTCTCCTTTGCACGCCTTCATGATTTCTTTCACCTTCTGCATTTTGATCAGGTGGGCAATAGCATATCCTTAAATCTAGTTTATATTAGATATTGCAATCCATAGTGATTCTGAGGAGGAATCCAGTGTTCCAATACTTTCTAGTACATTAGATTTTATATCCTGTGTGATACAAAGAGCATCACTTCCTCACTATACCCTTCCCTGTCCTTCCTATAAAGTTTATCAAGAATGACTGTTTTCTACTTATTCTTTCTGTTACACCATGTTTCTGTTATACCCATTATACTTGTGTTCTCATTTGTAACCAAGCAATCTAAATCTCCCAGCTTGGCATGGAGAATGCTAACATTGGCAAGGAAGCATATAAATATTAGTGTTAATATTGGGTCTTCTTTGAAATAGGGCATTAGGTTATTGCTGACATGAACCTTTCGCATAGACTTTTTATTTCCAGCCAGATTTCATCTGACTATCCATTAACCCACTATCAACATTGATCCTGTTTTTTATTGTATTTTATAAAATATCTACAGTTTCTCATCTATTTACTTTCTTTCAAGAATCAGTTTGAAAGCAGCTCTGAAACTTGCCTAATATCAAAAACCAGCAGCCTGGTTCCATTTTGATTTCTTTGACTTGACTTGTCCTTAAAAGTTCCTCAGTATCTAATCAGTCTAAGCCCCTCTACTTGACATCACTGTCTTATACAGTGGTATCTCATCAGCACACAGAAAAGAGGTGGGAATTGTGTCACAATGCCACCATATTTCATCATTCTGTCCTACCTTTGCCTCTCTCCACCCTCCTATCCCAGATTCCACTGGTATTACCCATACATTTAAGACTTCTAAGCTCTGCCTGTTTAGCTGGGCTTGTATTTGGAAAAGGTTGTGTTTCTGTAAAAATTATCTCAATGGTTTTGTAGCAGATTGGCAAGTCACCAAGCAAGTATGTACATGTCATGTACATGTCATGTCTAAACTCATCCATTCTCAAAATGAAAGAATATACCTTCATCTCTCAGGGATTAGATCCCTCCTTCAAGAACATTTTCATTATTCTGAAAATGATGTCCCCCTTGCCATCAGTGTTATCATATATTGGCAGCTGAAAGAAGAATTCAGTGAAAAGTCTTTTCTCATACTCCTTCAGCATAACCACCTTGATTTCAAAGGAACATAACTTGTTCCTAAGAGCTGGAGTTCGTTGTATCAGGTATAAAACTACTTCTTATACCTGCAGGTAAATAGCTATTGGCCTGCTACTTCACACATTGAACAACATCCTCATCACTGTTGGCTAATTTTGAAACAATGGTTTGCTGAGTGAAACTGATAGCAGAAAGGAAAGGAGGTACTTAGGTTAGGGTTTTTTCCCCCTTCAGCAACTTCCCCCCTATCACTTAATAATTGTCAAAAAGTTTTTTTTTATTTCAGACAAGAAATGTCATATTTTTGCAGGCATAAATCATTAGGACAACATAAACCCCAAACAAAAAACCAGCCCCACAAAAATATATATATAAAGGTCATTGAACAATTGCTTACATTCCATGAAGTGACTTTATATCTATTAAGCAATAATAAAAAACAATTGATTCAAAGGACCACAAATATTACAAATAAAATTTTCCTGATGGTTTCATAGCGTCATACAATACACATTCAAGACAATTTCACAATCACAGTTTACATATCTCTAACTGAAGGATTACACTTTCTAAGAGGGTCCTTCAAGGGTCTATTATCATTCCAAAGAGTCCTGACTCTTCCCCAAGTCTCTAGGATAGGGGAGGTCAGGACGACATGAGAATGTGTGTTGCATCAAGAATGTGCAGTTGTGGCATCTTTTTCTGTTTTTCAGTTTTATCACTGTTGTTTTTATGATTGTATGCATTTTTAAGTGGTTGTAAGAAGCCCAGAGCTGGTATTAAGATGCCTGGCTATACAGATACTTTAAATAAGAATAAATAAAATAAAATATTTTCTTTTGGAATCTAAATGTTGGCTTTTGATCTTCTTGATTAAGTTTAAGTTATAAATTCCTGCACCTAGTTTTACATTATGAACAATGTAATTAACGTCTCTGGGTTGTGCTTTTTTACATTATGACTTGGACCTTAATGTTATGAAAAATATTTCATAAATCAGCAAGGACTGGAAAAGTATTGTAAAATATATCAGCACCAACTATATGTACAAAACTCCATTCCTGAGGGACTTTATATCCAGTTTAAATAGTTTTTTTTCACAGCCATTTTTCAGTAGAAGAATTATTTTGTATCCTGTTACTCATGCCTTCCTACAAGGTGGTTGTTGCTTTTACATATTATTGATTAGAAGTATGAAGCAGTATATATTATATTTGTGTTTATAATACAAAATTGGTGTATACCTAATATATGTAATATATGACTTTACTTATAAATATATATGTAGTAACATTTAAAAATTGTTTGTAATGGAAAACTAGAATAACTTTCCATAGATTTTCCTGGATGATGTACTGGATGAAAACCTACGCTTAGCACGCGAGTATCAGATGCTCCAAATATGCTATCTGAATGACAAAAATCACCTTATGGACTTCTATGAACATAAAGACAGAGCTGAAGCTGCATTATGGGATCAAAAACAGGTATGATTTTTAACCTCTTGTTTTTTTCAATTATTATTACTACTAATTAATGTCAAAAAGTAAAACAAATACATATATCAAACAGTATGATATTTCTCTCATGTTCTTTTTTGCTATTTTTTTCATTTTATCCTTCACAAATGAAAATATCATTTTTGTCAACCCTGATATTTGCCTCAGTTTGGATCTTACTAATCTAAGGACAACAGAATTTAAAAAGGGGGTATAGATTATTGCAGTTGGCCATTAAATTTGACCTAGTATGGTCTGGTTCTTGGTGATTAGGAGTCAGAACTCTCATTTATTTGTTTATTTGGTTTACTCAAGTTTATAGGTTCTTCAATCATAAACTAAGTGGCTTACACTGTATTTCCTTGAAAATAAGACTTGGTATATACCAGATCTTATTTTCAGGGGGGGAATGTCTTTTCTACTCATCTATAGCCAATAGCCCCGCCTAGCCGGCCCACTTCTTCTGCAGCTGAGAATGGGGCTCCAGACTGCATTTCTATGGGTTGAATCCCTACCTCGGTTCTTGGCCGCAGAAGCCTTCCAGAAAGGGCTCTGACTGCGAAATGCAGGCTGGGTGATGCTGCAGAACAAGTGGGCCAGTGAGAGGCAAATGTCGATCCATATGAGGCCTGGTAAGTGGGTGCGGGACGCATGGGGCAGCTCTACCCCCCCCAGCTTGATTTTTAGGCGTGCACCTAAAAATTAGGGCTTATTTGGGGGTAGGGCTTATATTAGACCCACCCCCCAAAATCAAGCTAGGGCTTATTTTCAGCATAGGTCTTACTTTCGGGGGAACACGGTATTACCAATTATCATAAAAAGATTAAAATAAATATAACAAAAAATAACACAGACCCAGATGACACTTTATTAGCAAAGGGACTTTCAAGGTACAACCTGATCTTATTGGAGGGGCAAAGAAGCAAGGGACCCTAAACAGCTCTTATGCCATATTGGAATTTAAAGATAACAAGTACCGGTAGCACCTTAAACTATACCCAGAAGCCAACTGGTAACATTACAACTCTCATAGTAGTGAGATCATCCAAACATAATAAGACATGCTCATAAATATGCAAGTCATGCAAACTGTAGCTTCTGGGTTATCTTTTTGGAGATGTGTGGGTACCAGTATGATTGATTACATAGTAATATCCTTAAATTTGCCTCCCAATGAAAGGATAGTTCTCTATTCTGATGAAATCATTTCCCACTTTTTGATGTTGACATTTAGTATTCAGATAGGACCACAGGCTTAAATAAAGGAGACTGCTTGAGTGCTGAATTCCCAAATTAAGTGAACTAGCAAGCCTTTGGGAACAGCCTCACAGCTTTTTAATATCTCCAAAGGATCCCATTTTAAATTATCTTTGAGAGTTATAAAGAATATTTATGAAGCTCTAGCTATTTATCAACAAATTATAAATTGTACTCAGAAATATGTAAAATCTAATATTACTCCAGGTTAAAAACTCATTCCAAAATTCAAGCTTTAGCTTAGTAAAGAATGTGTTATAACTAAGGCTAAATTAGCAATGTATGTGGGCTCATCCCCTTTAACAGCAACCTTCACTCTGAGGCTGGTTTGGCCCTGGAAAAAATAGATAAGACTCTTCTGAAAAAGAAGAAATTGGTACAAGAAATGATAAGCTGGAATAAAAAAATGAGAAAAGCAGGCTAAGGTAGAAAAACTCTTCTGCCTTCTGGTATCTTATTGTCATCTCAGTTCAAAAAATCTAGTTCCGGCAGAGACTTCTGATCTGCCTGAAAAATAAGACTGGCACTTTTGTGAGCTATATAATATAAAAGCAAATAAATTAGATCTGTGAGTTGTAATTTCTGATCCTCTCCCCATCATCACTTCAGAGATTTCCAAAAGCTATCAGAGGGCATCTGATTCCTGTTGAACTCCTAAAATAAAATTTTGAATGTTTTGTTTATTTGTTTAGCACATGGCATCTACAGAGATCATGTAATCACTGATATACAACACCAATAAACCACATTATACGTACGAACACAAATATGTTTAAATGAAGAATCAGCAAATACATCTGTGTAAAGTATATGGACAATAGATAAAATTTTGAATTAGGTAAAACTATGATAAAATCACCATAATATAACACCATAGAATCAGGATAGATGCTATAATTCAGTATCTAAGGAAGCTACCCTTCTATAACTGCTTCTGGTGTGGCTGCAATGAGATCATCTCAGGTGCCTGGAAATTTCCTGAGGAGACATTCTCAAACTATATGTGTTGTTGTTTGTTCTGGTGCATCACAGTCACATTGTGGCCATTCCCCACTTTGTCCTAGTTCTGGCATGGCCTGTTCTGATTCTATTCAGGTGGTTCCATATTTTGGGGGGCAAGTATATTTCTGGAAGCATTTTTGTTGGATCTACATGATCTTTTTGGTTATTAAGGGTCACCTGTTTGATCGCTATTCTTCATCTAGATCAGACATGTCAAATACAAGGCTTGCGGGCCGGATACAGCCCACCAAGGGCCCAAATTTGGCCCCTGGAGCTGTTCACAGAAATGGCAAGGAACCGGCCCCTGCTGCCCCAGCCCTGGCCCACCCCAACTCAGCTGGGTGATTTTCCAGCACATGCACAGGAAATGTTGAGTGCTTGGAGGCTGGTGGTGTGCAGGAGCAGCTGCAGCTCATTTGCCTCACCCTGCCCCACCCCTCCCAGCCTCGCCCATCAGGCTTTTACTGGGATCGCCCCACCCGTGAGTGGGAAAGCCACGGGAGGCAGTTTCCTTCCTGAGCATGGAGGAAACAGAATGGGAGCTTTAGGATTCTGTCTGCCAGCATGCAATAGGAGTTTGCAGGGGCTGTCAGGGAGACACGGCAGGTGAACGGCAGCAGTTTTTGGTTTCTGGCATGGGGGGGTCGAAAGCAAAACTGCTCTTTTGGCAGGCTTAGAGTCAACTCTGATGTGGAGGCAATGGAGGGGAGGGTGGATTGAAACGTGCTCCAAAGACTTTTTTTTAAGCTGCCAGAGGCTCTGGACAGAAGTTTCCCATTTTGACCCCTTCCCCTATCATTTCCTCTTGCTCCATGGCTCTCAGCTCACCTCTCCCAGAACCTGCACACGTGTTTGTGTGAGTGTTTGTGTGTGTGTGGGGTCTCACCTCCTGCAGCCCTATGCTGTGACATTGGGAGGAAAAGAACGGGAGAGGAATGCTTCTTGCAGCCTGCCACAGGGCTGGGGGGGGACAGGGTATGATGCAATCGGCAGCACGTTGAGAAAAAGAAACAAGTACTCAAAAAAAACCAACTTTCATTAGTTTGCAGCCTGCCATCGCAGAGAGGGTGTGGGGCTGCAAGGAGTGAGACACACACACACACACACATACACACTGTGTGTGTGTGTGTGTGTGTGTGTGTGTGTGTGTGTTTTTGTGACAGATAGAACTTTGTTGCAATCCAAGATAACACTGGTATTCTTGAATTGTGAGCTCTTAGGAAAGTATCCCCTCCTTATATGTTGTAAACAACCATTTCCAGTGGGGAAAGCAGGACAAATCAGAGTGAGGAAAATATTTTCCTTTGGTATATTTCCAGTCTGAATTAAACCAAGGCAGGCACCTTACAGGAGAGCCCTTTTAAGGATTATGTATTAATAGAAAAACAACTAACCTACTTCTGCTCATAAAAGATAAAGCTGTTGCACATAAAAAACAGAGGAGCTCTTATTAAATAGCACAGCCACCATTTTGACTGTTTTGCTGTACTGTTGTCTGTGGACATCCCCTAATTAAAGCAAGCACGGGATAAATTGAGCCTGGTTTGTTCTCCATCTTTAAGTGGCCACAAACTACTAGCAAAGTGGCATTTGATCACAAGGCAAGAAGGCATAGAGAAATGTTTCCCCTTTTGCATTTGAGCATCCAAGAAGGGACAGGAAAGGAGAAAGGAAAGAGAACAGACAAAGAAAAAAGAAGGAAAGAAGGGGAAGGAAGAAGGAAGAAAGGAGAATAAAGAAGGAAGGAAAAAGAAGAAAAGGGAAGAAGGAAGGGAGGGAGGGGATTGCAATGAGACAGAGGGAGAGTCTGAGGGAAGTGCTGTCTTAGCATTTGGCCACTAGCAGCCCTGCTGCCCTTTTGCCATCCCCTTGTCTCCTCATCTTGATCTCTCCTGGTGGTCTCCCATCCTATTGCTGAGGATAGTTTAGTTACAAAACCAGGTTTCCTCATATGGAGAGAGAGTAGGCCTCCCTCTGACCCACATACTTTGCCCTCCCATACACATCATGGCCAAGGAGAGCAAGAACAGCAGCAGCAGCTTCGAGGAGGAGATAAGCACAGCAGGGCACCCTCTTGGGATAGCAGGGCTGGGCTGGGCTGTGGGGTCCCAGTGCCCTGGGAGCTCAAGGACCAGGCTAGATTCCCCCCAGCCCCGCCCAGACCACACAGGTACCCCCCAACACAAGCAATGTTGAGTTGGCCACATCCACCCTGACCACACCCACCCTGACCATCCCCCCCGCCCTCCCCGAGGTCAACCACAACCCTGATGTGGCCCTCAGTGAAATTGAGTTTGACACCCTGATCTAGATCATAAGACTGTGGTATGTTATCCCAAATTGGTTTCCTAATCTGAAGCCTGGTGCAAGATAGAGAATCTAAATCATTATGTATTTGTAGATCTCTAGGAATTAATTATTCCATTCTCAAATATCTGTTGTTGTTGCCTGAGATCAGGAAGGGCAATCTTTCTTATAAAAGTTCTCCTGAAATGGTGGTTTATTATCATTTTTACCCAGTCTGCAACTTTCCACTTTTATGAGTTTGTTGAGAATGTGCTAGGGCAGTGATGGCGAACATTGTAGAGACAGGGTGCCCAAACTGCAACCCAAAACCCACTTATGCATCGTCAGGTGCCGGGTGGGCATGGCCCATTGGCTGGGTGTGGCCCATTGGCTGGGTGTGGCCAATTGGGGGGTGTGGCCCATTGGCTGGGCATGGCTGCGAT